TTTTTTCGTTGCTTTTTCTGTTTTTCTAAGGCTTTTTAGGTGTCTACTAGTTCTTCGTTGCGCCAACAATTTGGCGCTTTTTGTACAAATGTTCCCCTGGGAGTCAGGACGCTACTGGAGGCCCCTGGCCTTACTACTACTTTGACCGCTCCGAAAAACGGCTCTGTGTGTGTGTATCCACCCCTGGGCGAAAGGTTTTCTTCCACTGGTTCAACGGTAGGGGGTGTTTTGGAAAAAGCGCCGAAGCCGGCGATCTGTGTGTGTCCACCCCTGGAAAAAGGGCTCCTTTCACCATTTCCATCAAGCAGGGGGGCAGTGGACCGCTATCACTCACTGCCCAACGAAGACAGTGATAGCCCGGTCGTGAAATCCAGAAAGGACGCTTTCTGGACGTACCTGCTGAAGTTTTTCGCAAGCTGTCACCCTACTCTTCCACTTTTTGTTTCATGGTTCTTCATGCTTCCACCCCCAAACAGGTTTTCCCACCGCAGACCTACAGCCGCTTTGCCGCTGTGCGCTTTCCGCAGTCACGTATGAAAACCTTTTTGTTGAAACATCTACAATTGAGCTGACTTTCCACCTTACCGTTGAGCCATTCCTTTCCTCGGGAAATTGCGTTAACTGAAAATCCAAGTTCGAAGTGTGAATCTGCTTGATTTGTCCGATTCAATCATGCCTCGTTTCGTGCGGGAATTCCCGTCGGTTCGGCATTTGCTGAGCTTTCGCTCGGCCAGGGGAGGCAAGCCTTTGTCACTTGAGGGGAGTGGATCAGCGCGTGAAAAGACAGGAGCCGTTGAGTTCGGAGTGGACTGCTGGAGTTTGGCAGCTTGGCAGAGTGTTGGGGCCTTTGTTTGGCCCTGCTTGGCTGCTTAGGACACAAGACTCATCAACGTCCTCCTCCTCCTCCTCCTCACCATCATCATCATCGTCGTCATCATCGTCGTCATCATCATCTTCATCTTCCTGTTCCTTCCCTTTCTTCATTTTCCTTCTCCTAGAGTCTTCTCTCTCTCTCTCTCTCTGTCTCTCTCTAACCGCTCGGACTCTCAAGTCCGAGGCGCGTGCCACACCCTTGAGCGGATTCGCTCTACAAATCAGGGCACGGTTGCGCATGCGAAAGTGGAATTTGATTGGTGGCAAGTTGTGAGACACTCTCACTCCGCAGCGGCTGGAAAGCTCGAAGTGGCCCTGGCTGCCAAAGAGGCTGCGCACCTCATGTGCAGGTAGTGCACATACGCAGGCCGCCCACTAATCGTCAGACTCTGCACACGCTGTTAGTGGGCGTAGACTCCTCGGACAGTAATGCTGACACCTCGGAGGGAGACAAACCACCGAGCTGTCCCATCCAAAAGATCATACTTTGGCCCAATGGCTAGTCATGTCCGCATCAAGTTCCAAGTGCTTGGTGCCTTAGATGGCATTGTCATGTCCAGTCTTCTAGTTGGGACGCTGATGTGCCAAGGATGGCGGATGGCGGGGGCTCTGTCAGTCGCCCATGTGCGGCCAGGTTGGTGTAGGAGACTGACTAAAGCGGTTTCAAGGCGGTCATGAACTGTGCGCTGTGATGTGCTACGCCTCTTACTAGCTTTTGCAGCTGAACTGGCTGTCGCTGATGCAGAACAGGCAAGGTTCTGGTCCGGTCAATGGGATCTCGCCCCCCGTGCCCTGCCTGGACTGCCAGGTTTTGCTACAAAGAGTGGGTTGCTAGTAAGTCAACAAGGGTGACCAAACCCTCCAGCACTTTGCTGCTGGAACGACCACAGCCACTTCTTCAACAGTCCGCAAAAGTGGTGGGTCAGGTGGGTTTTGATCCATGCGGACTGCTGCGGTGGCCGGCTGGACCAGCCGCAGGAGATCTAGAATCTAGAATCATTTTCCCCAGCAAGCTGCATCTTCGTGCAGCTTCTTCAAGCTTAGAGCGCGCCACCTCCTTTGGCTCCGAATAGTGCTGTGTCATGCAGCACCAGTTTCCCTGGCTGGCTCAGCTCTTCACGTGCGCCTCAGGATCATTTTGCCGCTGGGGCCAGGTTTTTCCAGGAACCTGGACTGCATGGAGCGGCCGTTGCACGCAGTACTGGACTCGCTGGAGTTTGCAGAGCTTGCCCTGCTTAACCATAGAACAATCGACTCCTGTGACGCACGCATCGTCATCATCGTCATCATCATCCTCATCATCATCGTCATCGTCATCGTCATCCTTATCGTCATCATCATAATCACGATCACGATCAGGATCATTCCTGGCAAAAGGATAGGCCCCCCCAAGTAAAGCAACGTCTCTTTGGAGGCTATCCTGGAAGATCTGGCTTGGTGCTCTCTTGATGAACTGTGCAACATAGCCCAAGTTACATAGCGGAACGAGGAAACATACAAGTATAATATAGATGACTCCAGACAGGATGCATAATCATTCAAGATGCTGGCAAGTTGCACAGCCTTGCTTGCAAGGAAGACATGGCTTACTTTTGTTGTGCAAATGCACCTTCAGCCCCACCTGCACAATTGCACCCCGTATTGCGCTGAGACGTGAATTGGGCAAGTTTGGGACTTGTCCTTGAACATGATCCGTGTGAGCTTTTATATAGATGGTCAGATTGTTCACACCGTGTTTGTGCAGCTGGTGGGGCTCAAAGCAGTGTCGCCTGCTGGAAAAGAAGGGGCACATGTGTGAAATCAAGTCCCATGTTTCGCAGCAGCAAGAACTGGCATGCATGCTCGTGAACATGATACGTACGGTGGGAAAAGTGTCACTTCATACATGCCCGTGTCCATGCCAACAGAGGTTGAAGAACCTTGAAGGACCCTCTAGACTATCCCGTAGGTACCCCAGTATGGGTCCTCTAAGGTGACCTGAATGGTTGGTAGCCGTTTTAAACCCTCATTCATGGTGCCACCATGCCACCAACGAATCTACATTGAATACAACGAATCTATGACATGCTGCGGCCAGCACCGCTTGCGGCACTGGGCAGTCGGCAGGTGGGTGGTTGAACCAGCGAGGAAAGCTGCACATATGGAAAACGAGGAAAGCTGCTGTGACTGCTGTGCCATCTATTTACTTCCAAGTTGGTTTCTGCTCAATCCGTGCCCAAAGTCGGTCACCTGCCCAAAGTGGGTGGTACCCTGTTAACTGTTAACAGCAGGATATCTGTTTGGATATCTGTTCTGTTGTCCAATGGTTTGGATGACGGTGGTACCCGATCCCTATCTGACAATATTGATTCATGGTGTCACTGGCCCGGCCGGCGCAACGCGCCCTCTCCGCCTCCGCCTCTCCAGGGCTTGCAGCGACCGTTCCGCAGGGCGACAGCGGCGAAAGCCGATGGCGTTGGGCCAAAGGTGTGGGCCACGGGGTGCGAAACAGGGAGGAAATCACTGTAGCTGCTGGCTGCTGGTCATCGTTACGGCTTAGTTTGACTGCTGTAACCTTGTACAAGGTTTTGGTCGTTATTGCTGTTGTCGCTGTTATGGATTCTTACGAATGTTCAATCATGTCCCACTGCTGTGCTCCCTTTACATTCCTCGCAATTTCTGTTGCCGCTTGGAAGAGATGTTCCGCATTGTGGCCCCGGCTGCTCCAAAAATGGATCCCTGGTTTCTTGTGTGTTTTGGTATTCTCGTCATGCCTTAGGCCTTGCTCCGTCCCCGCAAAGGATAGGTGTCTATTGCATGAATATTGACAAAATGTAATCATATGCAATCCCAGCATCCATCGATAGGCCAAGTTGTAGCTACTTATTAGGGCACTCCGCAAAACATGGCAAAACTAAGTGGCCTGTTTGTTTCTTGGAGTTGGTCAGTGTTGGAGCACAAATATGTTGATCCCGCATGGTGGCTACTCCATACCACACCTTCCTGGCCCTGGCCCCGAAAGGGCGCAGCGGCCGTATAGATTTGTGTTTGCGTTGTGGTACTTCTTCAGCAGTTCCTGGGGACGCTTCGGAATGCTGAGAGAGAGAGAGAGAGAACTTCCACTGTTCAAGCACTTGATGTTCACCTTTATATACAGCCTATCACATGAATTGAATGAAATTGAAGCTTTAACAGATCTACCACAAGAACCGCTGGTGTTTGTAATGCATGTGTGTATCCAGGTTCTTCTTGTTGTTTTCCAAATAGTTAGTTGTTTTCCGCTCGCAAGTTTAGAATCCAGCGTGCCGTTGTTACAATAAGTGAACTATTATTGTGATCAATATCATTTTTTAGCGCGTCCAGCAGCACTGATACAAGCATTGCACAAACACCTTGTTCGAGCTATATCATATATGTCGGGTTTGGAGAAGAATGGCAGCAGGTGGCGTTAAAAGAATGTCAGATCCTCTGGCTTGGCTGCACAACATCGGTAACAGGGTCGATATGGCCAGATAATGGTGTTTTGCGTGACGGTGCCAGTCAATCACGACGCAACCTGGCAACCTGCTGGCGGCTGGGTATGGCTTTTGGGTCCGGAAAGGTGCGTTGAAGCATAAGAAAAAAAAAAAGAATCTAGGGATCCACATACCTTCTCAGAAGGTAATTGGGCCCTCTAAGCCTACGCAAAAGTGTCCCCAATCACCTTCTCAGAGGGTATGTGGATCCATAGGGTTTTTGAACAATGCCCACAATCTGGAGGTGGACCTCTCCAAGGTCGCCGAGGTCCATGAAATAAACTATTTGGGACGCAGCCATGGGGTGCTCTGGGATGCTGTGGGAAAATTGACAATAAACTGGAGGGCTTGATCCAAGACAGAGAATCTTTGGGCTTTGTTGATCAGTGATTTTTTTCAACATTGCTCTTTGTTCAGTGTGCAAAAATGGGGAAAGGGCCTGCGCCTAGTGCAACGAGCATGACTCAGCATGACCTAGTGCTTGACCTACGTGCAAAACTCCTGCAGGCGCTCAATCCTCATCCCGGGGCTTCCTGGCGCCTGGCAACAGTGGGACTGGCCAAGCAGGCATGGCTCAAAAAGCACCCGGGTGCAGGCTGTTCCGACGGAGGGTATGATGAATTGGCTTCAGGCTGGTGCAGCCGCACACCTTTTTCCGCAAGGGTGAGAACTGAAAATAGGATTCATGATTCTAGCTAAGGTGATTTAGTAAAGGCCCAAGCCTTCGTTCTAAGGCATGTGAGCATGATGAGAATGCTGTTTTTGGATTGTTTCGACCACCAGATCCTCCTACAAAGGCCCACCGGAACCACAACCTACCATCATTGGCTTGGTCCATTGGTGTCCAGCGACTCCATACTCTCATAAAATATCATACTACATGCTAGCCGGAGTAAAAAGAAAAAACAGGTTCGTTGTTGCCCATCACTCATATGTTGCCCCCAAGACCCCAAGACCAGGCAGGAAGAAGCTCCTCGTCCCGCGTGCGTTTGGCCTTCTTCGGTCGCCCACTGGAGCTCCAGGTCGCCGGACGGTCGCGCGAGGAAGGCGGAAGGCGTTGATCCACTGTATAGATTTGATATTTGATGAGTTTTATTGTGAAAAAAAAAGATTGTAGAGCAAATTCATGGATTGGATCAGATTTCTTGGTTTCCCAAGAAAACATAAAACACAACAAAATGAGCACTACCTACATAGCTGAACAACCTGCAGATCAACCTTTTTGGGACATGTTTTTTTTGGGGAATCGCAACTATGAAGAGGAAGGTTTTAAAAAGACAAGCCTTTTGTTCAACATGATCATGCCATTTTTCTTGGTTTCTGGCAGTTTCTGGTCACCACTGGTTTTCAAGAACTTGGCAATGAAAAGAGACTTACTGTACATCTACAGGAACCTGTATTCAATCACCATTGTCACTCCGACATCGCGTGTTTCTTGGCACCGACGTGGGAGGTGCCACACGGGTACTCGGTCAGGAAGGTGTAAAGTCTTTTTGTTCCATTTCACTTAGTTCCATCAGACCATATCAGACCTGGTCACAGTTCCGTGACATGCGGTGAAGGAGGAAGAGACGGAGGTGCCCTTGAACCCTCAATGCGTGCGGCTTTGGAACGGCTCCGAGACGCAATTGGAGGTGTTGGCCTTTCCAAAGGCGCGCGAGTCGTGGGTGGTGAGGGGTTCTGTTGAGGGTGGCGAGTTGTGTCAGCCAGTTGGGGGCGGTTTAGGGGGTTTAGGTGTGCGTTGCGTTGCGCTAAGATGTGGGCAGCAGGAGCGAGCAGGAGTTCCATGTCTAACTGATCCCTCTCGGACATTTGCCTCCGAATCCCAAGCATGATCCACTAAAGCATGAGAGGACTCAGTGTACCAAAATCATCACTTGCTTCAGCTAGCCATTGTCAAGTGGATCCACAATCCACTGGTTTTCAATCTGGCCGATACCACAAACAGAAGGAATAGACTTCTACTAACCATCATCCTTATCCGCATATAATGTAAATTAAGCCATGATTAAGGAACGCTTTCCTATAATTAAGGTCCGTTTTTTTTCCTCCAGTGCGCACCGCCTCTCAAATACCTTCTGGCCCATTTTCCCAAACTGGGTACCCAACCACGGAACCTCCGTTTCCCCTGAAACCTTGCCTGCAATACTAGCCGGCCTTGCCCATCCCATCCCCCATCTTTTCATAAGTGATTGCATTGGGAACGTCATAGTCCGACCTCCCTCAGCTTCCCTCAGCACGTGACTGCACTGCAAGCAGGACACCATGCCATACATCTTGGGTGGCGATCGTCCCTTGGCCGCTCTGAGCCGTTCCCGTGGTGCGCTGGTTCTTGGCCACTCACAATGACTGGAATTTAATAACGGATTGCTCAGACGTTGATTGAACCGTCACAAAGCATTTAAATGTGTGTGATGTGTACTTGATGTCACATCTCACCTGTCATGTTTCGCACTATTCACGTGGCTATATATGTATTTTCTGGTCAGTCAGTCTTTTTGTTGTTTGGTTTCTTGTTGGAAGTAGCATGGCGGGGTTGTGGCCTCGATGTAAAAGTTGAGTTGTAGCACATTTGTCATAGCACACGTCATTTGTTGTCACTGTTGTTTGCTTGCACACGCGTTGTTTGCGAGCATGTCTTTAAAACTTTAAGATAGAATCTCAAGCAAGAATCCAGAAAGATACAGTATAGATTTTTCCATATCTTCCCGACGTCCTCCAACCGTCCAAGTCACTTCCCGTCGTTTTGTGTGTTCCCTGTTCCGCTTCGCACCACTTAGGCCACCTTCTACAGCCCCAGAGCCACCTGGACCTAGCCGTGGGTCGCCGCTCCAGCATGTGCCGCATCGCCTTGCGCCGCCGTGATGCAGCACAGATGCTGCTGGTGCCCAAGGGCAACAAGGTCAAGGCATGCACTGCAGCTTTGGAAAGAACCCCCTTTGTACTGGAGGTTGTGTTTCTTAATTCCCCACCTGCCAGGTGAGGGTCTTTATATAGACCTTAACAAGGTGCCACTCCCCCTCCTCTCCTCCTTCCTCCTCCTTCCTCCATGCCATCCTCATGTCACTGCAAGTGCCAGCTCAGTCTGGGCACACGGACCTCGTCACCATATAGAGAGCCCCAGCCGCCCCAGCCCAGTCTGAGCACCCACGGACCTATACACTACTGTACACCATGTTTGCACGTCACGGACCTGCATGTCATCGAGAATGCCGAAAAGGGCCAGATAGAATGCTGGAGAAGATGGGCTCAAGGTGAAGCAAGTTTGTGTTTGATTCCTGGTCCGGAGTCGCCCTTCCGTATGCCCTCGTAGAAGACCGGCTCTAGATAAACTAATGAGGTTTGCTGTTTGCTTGCTTACTTAAGTATGCGCCGAGCTTCATATTTGAGTACTCATAGCAGTGATCGCATGTGATTGGAGTTCGGAGCTTTTCGAAGACGGTCTTCACGGCTTCCCTGCGCTGGCGCAGGTGGAAGCGTTCGATGAGGAGAGCAACTAGACAAAAGAAAAGCATCGCGGAGCCTTCTGCGTATAGCTCAACTGCGGAGGGTGAGCCTAGTGTTGTGGAATGCAGGTGAGTGATGGTGAGTGTGATTTGCGTCCACTGTATTCTTCGGACCTTTCCCGTTGGCTTAGCAGGATAGATGCAGGCTTAACCCATCATTTTTTCCTGACGTCGGAATAAACTTGTTTGGCAAGGTTGAAGGATGATCACTAGAAGGCGAAAGGCAAACTTTTCATTGTGCTACAGAGTGCTCCTGCTCTTCAAGCGCCAATCCTTCTTGGTGCCTTTCGTCGACAACTCCATTTGGCAACAAGAACCTTAGTTCCATCGTTTTTGAAGAGTACCCGTCCAATTCATCCTTGGTCAAGGCTCTGGATTGGGTTTGGGGGGCGAGGGAGACCCTGGTCTCCCTCCAGGCGTCCCCTTACACCGATCGAACAATCCGAGGCCAGGAGGGCTTAGGACCCCTGGAAGTTCGAGTTGGCGTACCTTGGGCGCGGTTCATCCGCTCTGGAGACTTGGGGTTAGGAAACTGTGATCTCATCGGCTTCGGAGGCCATGTGGCCAGATCGAAACTCACTGGGGCCAAGTGCTTTGATCATGCTTTGTGAGTCAAAAGCTCGAGATGGGCATGTTATGATGCATGTGCGCATCTTTTGCGCCATAACGCACGCAATTTTTGTGTTGCACGCCACATGAATCATCCGTGATGCCCTTCAGCCAGCATTTTCGTCCTTGTTGGCCAGACGCTATGGACGCATGACCTAGCGGTATTTGAGGATAACCAGCACATGGCCGTCCGGCCGGCTCGAGCTCCGGGGGGACGGCCGAGAATTCGAGGATTTGCACGTGTCCTTCGAAGATGGCTCCTCGTTCGAGATCTTTCCAGGCCAAGGAATATGGCCGCTTTTGGAATCCGCGGAAGAGAGAGAGAGAGAGAGCTATTCCTAAAGAGTCGAAAAAACGGGAGGCAGAACTGGATGTGCAACATGACATCAAATATCAAACAAATACCGGCCCCTTTGATCAAGCCGCTTCAAGCCCATTAGCTTTGGCTCGGCTCTCTCGCCCTCGGCTCACTGCCAGGGCCTTTGTTCTGGAGACTCTCTCGGAATGTGGAAGATGCACCTTGATAGATGGAGACTGTTGTTTATACCAGCACCCTCACTGCCAGGTCGTTAGTTGAGGGTTGTTGGGCCCTAACAGGTCTCTTAATGGTGACCTGACGGTCGGATCTACTGGGCCCGTGTTTTGCTTTTCGCAAAGTTGAATTGGATATCCTCTTCATGTGGTGGCTTTAGAACAATTACCAGTCTACATGATGTGCTTGATAATTAAAAGGATGATTGCCAATGCTTGCCAAATGTTCTAGTGCCTTTTTTGGCAGCTGGAATTGTACTTGGCCGGATGTTTGCACTTGCTGCGCACTTGCTTTGTATAGAGGCTGAAGATATTAAAGGCTCAATGTCATCCTTTACATGTTTGTGTTGATTTAGGTTGTTTTGTCCCACCAACTATTATTCACTTTCCTTAAGACCATGTGGGTTATGACAATGACAATGGTGATTGTATACATACATGCATTCATTGTATGTCTCATTTTCTCAGAAACTACACTCCCGAAAACTAAGAATGGCACCCTGAAAGGCTGTTTTCCTTTGCTTTGCCATCTCTTTTCCCTTGCAATTCCCGTTGGGTTGAGGTCGAATTCCAGGAAGCCTCTATCCTCCAAAGCGCCGACGCTCGCGTGTGCTTCAAGGTCGTGCGGCAGATGGGCCCCTCGTTTCCGAGGAATGATGTGTCAGTGGTTGAAGGATGACATTTGCTCAAGGGGCTTATACAGATGAGCTTATAATGGGGCCTTTTGATGGCCTTTTGCTTTCGAGGGCAGAGCCTTTGACAAGACTGGAGCCACAAACTAGGAGAGATGCTCATCACTTGGTGCCATCCAATTCTTTTTTCCAGCCTTCAGGTTCGGACTGGCGTGGGCATCCACTGGCGAGGGTCCGGGTCACTTCGGCTTGATTGGGTTTGCACGCCCTTGGCCCCACCTTATGTGATGGCATGATGGCCGGTGGGTCGGCTCATGTGATTGCGGATGCGTGGCCTGAAGAAGTGGAAGAGGCCAGCATTGCTGGGGGACTCTCTTTCAGTGTCTCCCTGTTTCTTTTGCTGGTGGCTACTTGATACAGGCATTCTGAATGTATATTGATACAACTATACCCCTTTGTAGGGTCCTCGGATTTGTTGAGAAAAGAGGTCCTAAAAAGAACATCGGCGAGGGGGGCTATTTGATGAGCCCTCACTGCTGGTGTTGGCTTGATTGAGGACATTTGGCATCGTGCAATTCCAGACCCCCACCAAAAAATATGTGCTGTCCGCTCATAGCTAGCGTGAGCAAGCGTGAGCAAAGGTCCTGAAAAGTACCTCGGAGGTCCTCAAAGGCACAAAACAACTTCAACAGAAAAACAACATCCTCCAGCAAAGCGTGAGCAATCGTGAGCATTGGCATGGCATCTATATGAATGAGTGGACTTTTTTTTTTCAAGATTGCTCACAACCAAGGTTGTCAAGGTTGTCATTAAATTGTGGACCAAGGTTTCACAGGATCCTATATCTCCTTTGTTGGGTTTCCTCGGATTCCTCGGCTGTGAAACCCCAGCAACTTCTATGGATTTCTATGGTTTCTCGGACATCGGCCTTTTGAGGGCCTCCTCGACGGAGGTCCTACTTTGAAGGGTCCATGGACTCTGAGGGTACTGTGATAATATACCGTGCACTCAGTATATAGTCAAGAGTTGTTTCAGCATGGTGTGTTTGGAGCTGGTGGCATTTTCGAAGTGACGCGTCTCTCCGAGACGTAGCCGTGGCCGTTGGTAGATGTGTTGCGGTAGCTGCTGAGGTGATTTCGGCCGGGTTCCTGGGCACCAAGTACCTGCATAAAGGCGGCGAGCTGAGGGGCTGATACTGACTACCTGTCATGAATGACCTCTCGGAGAGAGCCATAGTGACAACCTGTTTTTGCCATGCGAAATGATGCAGCCATGTGGAATGTGGAGGAAAGCTTTTTCGCGATGGCCTCTCTTTTCATGGGGTGCTGGATGTGGATATGGGCGGCAACCTAAATCGAACCTCCACTGGACTCCAGTGAATTGGAATGGAGTGTAACATAGCCATCGGAGGTTGCATGGCACTGCTGGAATTGGGAATTGATGTAGGTCAACTTATTGAAAGTACTGCGGGTCTCCGGTACATGCTTCGCGCTGTGGTGAGAGTGGAAGTGGTGTCCTTGTGTGTTGAAAGTCCCTGCTTTGCTTGGGCAGAAAGCCCCTGCACTGTGCATAAAAACCAATGCGCGTATGGTAGTGATGTTCATACTTTTCGCACCTTTTCGTGGTGTGTTTCGGTGTTTGTCAGGGGTGATGGCAAGGTGTGCATGGGTCAAGAGATGTCAAGATGCATCCAAGACATGTGATCATGTTTGCTGGATCGACTGAATTCGGGTGCCCACATGTGCCCACCAAGGGTGTTTTCCAACTGGGATGGACATGCTCCGAAGTGCAGGCACCATGTATTTGGCCAAGATCGTTCCCATCCAAGCCAAAGATGCCTGGCTCGGACGGGCAGCCCCGAGTTGCTTCGCCCCCAGTACGGCCAGTAGTCTTGCGTGTGGTCCTTGTTTCTTTGATAGGGCAGGAGTCCTGTTTGGTTCCAGGTTGGTTCAGCAAGAGTTGTGAGCCCACAGATGGTACCATAGGACAGGACATGCCAAAGACATCCGATAATAAATAAAGTCAACAGCAAATCATCTGAATATACTGTCAAATACAGCGTTTCCAGATATCATTTGTCCCATCGGCTTTCACCAAAGTGAGCCTTCTTGCGCTGACTCTGCCTGTCGACCCATTCCCCATGGGGGCACGGCACGCCTTCACGCCTTTGCGTCGTGCGTCGCGGCATGATTCACGCGGCGTTGAGGACTATAGCGTGCTAGTCTCGTCGTGCGTCGCATGTGTTTGTTTGAGGAAGAGATCATCAATGCGTTCAAACGGATTACGGGCACCTTCGGCCAGCCCGAGCAGATTCTGCATTTCGAGGGCTATGTGAAGACCGATGCTTGGAATGCTTCGAAGCAACTGCTTTAAAAAAATAGGTCAGAGGATGTGTTGAACATTTTAAGTTGATTAGCTCATGGTGAACCAATCAGGTTTGCACTGCATTATGCTGCATTGTTGCTTTTTGTTGATGCATCTCATCCAGCCAAACACACCAAGTGTGCAAAATCCCTTCTGACAGAAAGATCCAGCTGGTTTAGTAGCCTTTGCATTTGCATGGACAGTAACACTCTGCACTTGCTGCCTAGGAATCCGGTGCTCACATGTTGCTTTTCGAGGATTTTGGCGAGAGCTTATCAAAGATCATGAGTTTCTCAGTCACCATTATGTTTGATATCGTTTATGTGGTTGAAATTGCCAAGCAGATCGTGGCAAAGGCATGCAAAGGCAAGAAGCTCTCCGGACAGCCAGCAAACTTATTTGATACATGCAACAATGCAATAGTTGGTTTAAAGAGGGACATCGTGCAGTCGCAAAGTCCATCCTTTTTGACAGCAGTCCCAGACTTTGTCGATGGCAGCGTCGGCGGCCCGCGTTCTTCGTGGGTCACCGAGGCTCTAGTAGCGAAACCCTGACAGCAGAGGACAACGACCAATGCTCCTTGGCCCAAAGCCCCAAGGCTCGCGGAAATGATTGGAAGTGGAGACTTTGATGTTCAAAACTATTAAGACATGCGGATATTCTGTGTGCCAAAGTCTAGAAGACTCTGGGGACACAGAGCTTGGTTGTTGTGCAGGGTGCACCGCTCTTTCTGTTAATACGTTTCAGCTTGGTTCACTTATCACCTGTACTGCTTCACTGCCTCACTAGGCTGTGTCAGACATGAGGTCGCCAGTCGCGCTATCACCTGCTTTTTTTTGGGGGGCTGCCCTCAAATAATCCCGAGTACCAATTAATAAACACTCCCCAATTTAAAAAACACAACGTCCGAAGCCCTAAATTCGGCTTATATTTGTTTTTAAATTACCGCCCTTTCAAACCGCTACTAAACTACCAACATGGTCGATTTTGGGGGTATTTTTTCTTTATAGGTTCTCCCTCGTGACACGCCGCGTTTACACCAGCCAGTTTTCCTTCCTCCAATGGCACGGACTCACGCAAACGCACTTGCCACCGAGGTCGTGCAAAACCGCATGGCACAGCGACATCACCTTTCGAAAGCTTTGGTTGTTAGTCTAATGAAGAATCAGTATTCTAATAAATTGGTTTTTGTAGGGGAAATGGAAGATGGAAGTTTTTTTGAATGTTTGATACGAGTTTAATAATTAAAGATTTTATATAAAAGATTTTATATAAAACTTTTCCGAACTTTTCTGGATGACTTTTTGGTTTTGAAGCTCTTCCCAGGTGACCCTATGTTGGACCCCCCCGATTTCAGGGACCCCCTATTAGAAAAGATGCGACCGAGTTTCTCTTATTAGGGAGGGGGGGGCCCCCGTGTTTATTAATAGGTGGAAGGGATTAACTGGTAGCCTGAAGTCATTTTTACATCATTTTGCTATGTCTCTCACATCCCAGTCGGCCTTCTAAACCTGACATAAACTCTCTTTGCTTCCCATGGATCATCTCCAGTTGTTTCTGGGCCCCCAAACCCGTCACCCTCTTTCAAAAAGACCTCCCCGTCGACCTTCCTCCCCTTCCCTTCCCTTCCCGTTTCTGCAGATCTGCCGAGGTGCCGAAGACTTGCTGCGAGCCATCACAGCGCTGCACCAACAAGGCATTTACCACTTGGCCTTGTCCCCGGAATCCGTCCGCCTTCGCCGCGATGGAGCCTGAGGAAGCAGGAAGTGGGCCGAAGTCGAGGTCCGGCAGAGGTCGGTATGGTTGGTGAGGTCGGTTGCTGAAGAGGTGAAGAACGCAGAGAGAGCTCGGTTGAGGAGATTGGATCGTGTAGGGGTTGATGATGTTCATGGATTTAGAGGAGGACAGGTTTTTAGTACATTTTTGTGAGCCAGCTGTTGCTTTGTTGGAGGTGTGGCCCATTTCGGGTGTAGTGTGGAGGCTTCCACACTTGGAACTCGCATTTTCTTCATGACGATATATCAATGACTTCTTCCAACGCACCGAAGCCGGTGGCTCCCGGCGCCGGTGGCGGATCTGAGGAATGGGTCGGATGCGTTTGAAGTTGTCCGACCTCGGTGCCTTCGAGCGCCCCTCAGAGCCGATCGCCTCACGCGCGGCCACGCAGCTAGGCGCGGGGAGGAGACTGCCGCGACCAGATGCGGCCAGCATGGATCTAGAAAAAACGACGTAGGAGAATGCAGGAGGATGGCAGACGGTTTCAGGGTGTTCATTGGCGATCAACAAAGTGGGTCCTGACGCAGCAGGCTTTAGTGGGAAGGTGGCAGGTGACTGACTCGCGTTTGTAGTCAGAAGGGGCAAGTTTGCCTCCTTGGGCATTGCTGAAATCAGGCTGGCGCAGCTACACTAGCCCAGTGCCATGACTGAAACTGGAGGGAGGACCCAGGGCATTTGGATCCATATGGTAAGGTGGAAAAGTTATGAGTTTGGCTATGGTTTGTTTTAGTATGTTTAGTTATTCCCCACTCCCACCTGTCAGGTAAGAGTATTTATACCTAGCGAACCTAAGACCTAACAATTTGGATACTAACCTTTGGGCCACACGTCGCACATGTACTTAGATCTTTCAGCTGAAGTTGTTTGGGGCTGAGGGGTTGAATTGAGGCCTGTTAAGCGTGACTTGGAGAAGGGATCCAAGTTACGTTCAATCATATTCCCTACAAGTCTAACCTACATTTTAATAATGGCCGACGTGACAACCTACATTTCACCCATTGTAGTTTTAGACTAGCATCGGACCAGCACTGCCACACTTAAGGCCAGTGCATTACTGCCTTCTTCCCATTGTGGTTTTGGACTAGCATTGGACCAGCACTGACACACATTTCTGAAAGAAAGGCCAGTGCATTACTGTCTTCGTCCCATTGTGTGGTTTTGGATCAGCATTGGACCAGCACTGACACACTTTTCTTGAAGAAAGGCCAAAACATCACTGCCTTCTTCCCATTATGGTTTTGGACCAGCATTGGACAAGCACTGACACATTTTTTTCCAAGAAAGGCCGGCCAGTGCATTACTGCCGTCTTCGTGAAGAGCTCATCAGCCTTGGACCCCATCAAACAGAATAATCTTAAGGCTCCTTAAAGCTGATCTGTGCATGTGGAACAAGTTATAATACATTCCAGGAAGCTCACTCAATTTGTGCCGCATCGAACGTATGCGAAGCTTGCCGCATTTCAGAACCCATCTGGATCTATGTTTGGCAGGAATTCCATTGGCAACTTCTTAGATCCAAGATGCATTGTTATAAACACAGCTCACAAATCACAACAATTTGTGAATGCATGCATGCATGCAAGCAAACTCCCAATTGAGACCAAGGGTCTCTTGAGCCAGCGCATGCCATCTTCATCGATGTAGCAGTGCCAAAATCGACAGTTTTTGCCTTAGGTCGATGTAGGCCACTTGTAGGTCGATGATTGGACAGCCAAACACATTGCAGTTCTGGAGACAGGCAAGATCAGGCAAGGTACGGAACCTCAAGGTGTCCCATACGAGGTGCGCAAACATCTCAGTTGGGCAGCAACAAGTATCAAATAGTACTTACAATGTGCACAGCATAAGGCAAAAGAAAAGGTACAAGCAGAACCTGACAACACAGTGAACTGCATGCAACTGGGGGACATGATGTTTTGGTCTCATCAAGAATTGGTGTTTTCCAAGCCTGGTGCATCATGGGTCGTACATGATTGTTCGTACATGATGCAACTGCAAGCATAGGATCTTTTTTTTACAATTTCATCACTCAAGTTTACCCAGGCCTCACCGACAATATCTGGAGGCATTTGTATGCATCCAGGAACAGCATACCTTCTTTCCACATAGCCGTCGCAATATGTTGAGGCCTCAAAAACACAGCATGGTCGTACTAGTAGGGTTTGTAACTGTTCACTCTGCTGTTGCCCAATTGCACAACCAAGCCATGCCAAGCTGCAATTCACGCCCATGGCTTTCAGACACCCAGAAGAATCTCGCCAGCGATGTCCTGGTGGAAGGTTCAAAGGCAATAGGAGGGCAGAACAGAAAGGGCCACTGGTGAGTATTGAATACAAACGATTGCAAGCAAATGCAACTGGGGAACATCAACGTGGATGCCAAGGGCAATCTTTCATTGTTTGGGTGTTGTCCAGAAAGAACCACAGTCTCCAATATATCAGCAAGCCATTGGAGGACAATTCGTCCGTTCCATGCCTTGATGGTTAGCATGACATCCCCAGTCTTTTTTTCAACCTGAATTCAAGGATCACACACGTACATGTCATGTTGATTCTGGACGGTCTTCACCATCCCCTTTTCAACATATTTTACACATTCCAGATCCAACATGTTCAGTGACGCTCAAAAAAGAAGTGCCTTCAAGTTCCAAAACAATGCATGGTGGGAAAGTAGCAAAAGGTTCGATTTCTTCAAGTTCAAGATTCCATTTTGACTTTGAAGGGCGGTTGTGAATGGTGAATCCGTTTGACAAGGCACCATCCTTTGAAGTGTTGATAGGCCTGGTCAAGAGCATCTTGGAAGGAACCTCCTCCAAAGAATTGCACTTCCTTACACAGGATTTTCCTAAGCTGCGCATTTGGATCTTTGGGGATTGACATTGATCCCACTTACAAAATTTAATCTATTTTAGTTTTAATCTATTTGGGGCCCAAATGGGAGCACCAACCAGGGCAGCTGGAAATAGATTACCACCCAATAGGCAATACCTGATATCAGCGTTAATAACATATATTGGATGTTCATTGTTTACTATCTATATATCTAGTCTATCAGACTCACTTAGACCTTCAATGTGTCATCGCACACTTTTTCTTCAGGTTGGATGAACATGAACAGCATCAACAACTGCATCCCTGGATCACAGATGCGACTGGCGCAGCGCACCCTGGAAGTACAGTACGGGTGGTCTATTGGGTTTGATTCTGTGTGGATGGTGGGATATGTTGGGACAAAAGGTCAGGATACCTCAGGTGGTACTTACAATAGACCAATCACAACCTGAATTGTGCAAATAGTAGCGTCAAACAGGCGCCATTGCAACTGAACATCACCCCAAGATTCAGGGTATGCATGGAACATATCTTTATTTGTCCTGGGTGCCATCCTTCCAGCAGCATCAATGGGCCTCAGCCCAGAGCGCACTTTGGAAACCAAATGTCCCATAGATACTAAGTTACTAAGTACAATATCGATAACGGGTTTGTGAACTGTTCTGTAAATAAAGCCTTGATGCCTAGTTGCAAAGATTCTTGTCTGGGAGGCGATGGTGAATAAACTCTTCTTTTGTGAACTCCTTATTGAGCCATTCCTTAGGTGGGAGGGAAATGGGGTCTACCTGCACACCCTCTTTTGGTCAAACTGAGCACGAATATAGTAATTCTAGAATACTAGAACCAAAACTTTGAAGAAACTAATCACACAAAGATTCTGCTGTGCTGTCAGTGGTGTGGTACAACATCCGTGCGTTGTCTGAAGTTGAAAGTGCGGGGCATCGATAGCAAGGGGTGATAGCTTTCCAAGAGCAATCCTTGAATCGCCAAATCTGTTTGTGGAACTCCCAGTCACCTCTGAGTTCAGTCACCGCGAACTTTTGGCCGGAAGATGTGAGGGGAGTACCACAATGAGATCCTTGAAGAGGACAACCTTTGTAGTCAGTGACAGGCCACATGCCTCTGAATGCCGCGTTCAGCGACCATACTAGGACACGGAGAACTTTGTTGATTGTACGGTTCTTGAAGCACTTGGATTTATCGCAGCTCCATAGCAAATACCGGGATGCCCGAACCGACTTGGGTCTGAAGAGGACCAGGTTCAGAAATAACCCAAATTGGTTCTGCACTTGGAATACGGTGGACAGTCGGGCAGCATCCCCATAAAGTCCCACCGGGATGTGCTGAGCAGTGGCACTGGAGTCCAATGCCCAAGGCTCGCCAGCATCTCTAGCATTGGCCCAGTAGTTCTGGACCTCCTGAGGATCCAAGGAAAGGCCGATATTGTCCCACAAATACCACAGAATTTCATGTGGAAATAGAATAGGTTGATGTTCCAGAACAACTTTGCCAGCTTCTTTCGGGTGTTTGACAGGCACCGCAATGGTGTGTTGGGCCTCACATGGACACCACCCAAAAGCAAGAAAGGAAAGCAGGAGAGCGGTCATCTAGTTATCCCTCAACAGAACCGGAATCTAACAAACTTGAAGGAGATATGTTCTTGTGGCACGAATTCTGCGTTAACAAAATCCAGCAAATATTTTCTATACACAATCATGGTACTATTGGAATGTCCGTGGCACTCCAGAAGTCCCTGCTGTCATTCCACCCACTCTTCAATCCCAGTGTTGCGCTTTCATGATGAACAGCTGATTTGCTTTCCTCGAGCAAAAAAATCAATCTTGACAGTAGCATTGCTAAACTTCTTGCAACTCAAAGTTCATGCACAGTTTCTTGACCCTGGAGCTGCATTCCAACCAAGGCACCTGGACGTGTGCCCGGAGTTGGTTCATGGCCTGTCCAGCCGATGCAGCCTTGGTTGAAGCAGGTGCCTTGCCTTCATGTCCATCAGCAGTTACACATGTTAAGGCCAACTAGGATCTTTAACAAGCTCATGCATGCATGCATGCATGTATATACCCCATGGTCACACCTGCCCAGCAGGTCCCAGGAAGCAGCCAAGTAACTCCAGAACTTACATTGTCAACTTGCTGCAGGAGAACATAGGGCACATTGTCATCTCTATAGCCTGCCCAAACCAAAAAGATCATGCGTTGTATGCAAGCATGCATGAACCCTGGCAGCAAGGAGCAAAACCAAATTAATCCAGAAACATGCATGAACCCTGGCATCAAGGAGCAAAACCAAATTAATCCAGAAACAACTTTTTCCAACTCGTGCGATAGTTGATCGATCAAGAGATCTCGAGATAGATCTAGATCCTACTAGTGAAAACCCCCTTCAACTTGGCGCCACGCTGCAGGTGAGCATTGGTGCATACAACATAGTGGTGGCGAGGCAAGCAACACGGTGAGAATTGGCTTGGGAGGGCATTCAACAGTGAGTTTCAATCTATAGTTTGTATTATTTTGTTCAAATGCCCCATCCACCCTATGAACCCAACCCCAAAGGCTTAGACACGAGTATCTGAACATCGCTACAGGCCAGGGGTCCAACACCCACTTAAGCACGTGCAAACGCCATGCCAAAATCACTTCATGTTGTTGTCAGCCATGAACTTGTTGAATTTCTCAATCAAGTCCTCCCCTTTGGCAGCGGTATTGCCAAGAGTCTCGGCATCATCCACCTCCACAGCACACAGTCTTTTGAGGGGCACACACTTCATCCCATTCTCAAAGATTTAACAA